GCATCGTATTTTCAGTTGAGAAATAAAGCTACCAGAAAATTCTTCCATAATTTGTTTTCTTTTACTTTTCTTATTCTGAGTTTGTATTTGGGTATTACAGATCCTAAGCTTTGATATCCAAAATATACTTGTCTTGTACCTGCTTCAATTCGTATCTTATTTTTTACTCTTAACATGCTTCTCAAAACCATATCATATCTCTCTCTTTGTCACACTTCTCACAAGTCAAGGGGAACAGTCTTTATACTCTTTGGGATAGATGTCAAATTTGCATATCTTACCCTCCCTGACCTCACCTTCATGTGGGGTATTTTGGATTTGTTTGGTTTGGTTTGGTTGTGACCATAAAAACATGTGTCTATGTGTGTGTGTTGCCATATACATTGTCACGTAAAACACAACATGAGTATATGTATGCATGCGTGACACGCTATCCGCAAGCCGGGGGTCTTCAAGGAAATAGCCACTCTACTTTCACTCTACTATTAATGGTAAAATTGTCATTTAGTTAGTTAAAGAATGTAATAATTACACAATTCCAAAACTATGTACCTTTTTCATTGCGAATATTTATTTTGGGACAAAAGTAGTAGTCATTTTTATGGTATTTCATAACTACCGTAATTATTGTTTGGGTGTACCTTTAAAATAAACTAATACACATGTAAATTGCAGATTATGAGGACAAAAACACACGACATAAGGACACAGAGTTGGATATAATCAGAATAACTAGATTTCATGGTTCATACTACATATAATCATAGAAATCATTAATCTAAGAGTATGGATTTGAGTAAGAAAATATGTCCCAATAAAATGCACTCTAATCAATTTTAGGCTTCTAACACCCTTTGCATTTAAGTTGATAAAATTTTATTAGCAGTGTCTTTTCTAGTTGCTTTTCCGGTTTCTAAAACACAAATGCTTCAAACTCCATTGGTGCCAAACCAAGACAACAGGATGGAGCTTGGAAAGAACCAAATTTTTTGAACCCTCGGTTTACTTCAAATGGGTCTTTTCTAGTTGCTTTTCCGGTTTCTAAAACAAAAATGCTTCAAACTCCATTGGTGCCAAACCAAGACAACAGGATGGAGCTCGAAAGAACCAAATTTTTTGAACCCTCGGTTTACTTCAAATGGGTTGGTTTTTAGAAGACATAGACATGTATTTACGTTAAAAAAATGTCTAGTTTATACCTTCTTTTTAATCTTTCCACCTGGAAGTCGTTTTACTGGCTCTTGCTTTAGCGCCGAAGAACCTGCAATTCATGAAAGACGAAAGTGAAAACAAGGTTAGATTATTATAAGAAAGCGGAAGCTTAATGTTAGAAGAAGAAAAAATATATTTCAATGTACACCTGAAATTTGCAAAAAAAATAGCTATAGAAATGCTAAAAAATTAAAAAGGTGGAAATAAGAACTGTACTACATCCACTGCTAGCTCTGTGTCATCTACTTGTCCAACGAACTAAGGCCGTGACAACTACTTTCTCCAATGATCTAAGCCTGTTTTGCTGTAAAAAAATTCTTATCCCCTTTCTCCTACAACGTTATATATATATATATATATATATATATATATATATATATATATATATATATATATATATCATATGTGCCATTTGCTTGTTGCCTTCTCAACGACCCTAAGGCCACTTTGCTCTTAGAAGAACTCATTTTTTTTCAACAGCAAGTATTCTAACAAACCTATGAGCTTGACATGAATAAAAAGCCACATTTACAATTGGAGATTTCGGGATATCTGATTCAACAAATTAACATACGCATGCATACTCTTACCAAATCATGGATGGATACATCATTCATACATGCATACATACATACATACATATATGTGGTAGCAAGCATATAGTGTCACAATTCAATGAGAGATGACACCTACCGCACTATCTCAGGAATGAGTACATGTTGATCAACTTATGTATTTTCTGGTAGACGGCCAATATAGGCGAAGCAAAAATTAGGGAGATGGGACAAGCTTGGTGTAAATTACTAAACTGCTTGTGTCAAATTAAAACTCTAAAACTGTCAACGGTTCTTTCTGTTGAAGCTTACGTGGAGTCTGAAGTTTTCTTGTTTCTGTAATTAATATCCCTAGTCTTTAGGTGTTCTAAGACGTGCTTGAACCAGTCTTCAAGCCTGTTAGATAGCTGCTTATTTTCGCTTTTCAGTTTCTTGTGCTGGCTATTTATATGCCCCTGCTTTCTGCTTCAATAAAAACAGAGATTTAAGCTGTGCGATTCTGATTATTAGCTTTGAGATTAACAATTGGTATCAGAGCCACAACCAAAGGGGCCTGATTGAGAGAAGGGAGTATATACAGAAGAGAGGGACTCTGAGAGAAACACGAGAGAAGAGAGAGTATACAGAGGAGAGGAACTCTGAGAGAAACACGAGAGAAGAGAGGTATACACGAATGAAAAGTGAGTATGGCTGATAACACGAAAGACTTTGTTCAACCCGCCATTCCAAAATTTGATGGCTTCTATGAACATGGGTAAAATTGATATTTGATGGAGAACTTCTTACGAGCCAAGGAGTACTGGAGCCTCATCGAAGATGGATTCGATGTTCCACAAGGAAGACAACCAAAAGCAGAAGAGGCAAAGGTCATTGCTGAACAACAACTGAAAGACAGAAAGGTGAAAAATTATCTCTATCAAGCTATTGATAGAGATATCATGGAAACAATCTTGAATGACGATACTTCGAAGCAAATCTGGGATTCCATGAGGCAGAAATACAAGGGCTCAACACGAGTCAAAAGATCACAGCGTCAAAGTTTGAAGACCGAATTGAAGGTGTTAAAGATGAAAGAAGGGGAAACGATCAATGCTCATTTTGGAAAGACTGTCCATAGCAAAATGAATGAAGCCTATGGAGAATCAATTAGGAGAACGACATCACTGGAAAGATTTTAAGGTCTCTTGTCCCAAAGTTTAATTATGTTGTATGCTCCATAGAGGAGTCCAGCAATGTAGAGACACTGACAGTAGATGAACTTCATAGCAGCCTCTTAATTCACGAGCAAAGAATGAAGGGGCCAGTCGAGGAGGAACAAGCACTGAAAGTGTCGGTTGAAGGACGTTGGGAGAGAGGCAGAGGCATGCTGCGAGGCTGAGGAAGAGGCAGGGGAAGACAACCGTTCAACAAGGCCCTGTTGGAGTGCTATAGGTGTCATAATCTGGGGTACTTCCAGTATGAGTGTCCTAGTTCGTCGAAGAATGCAAATTTCTCAGAGTTTGATGATCAAAATGAGATGTTGTTGATGGCAAACACTTATCTATGTCAAAACAAGAAAGAAGGTGTGTGGTTTTTGGATTCTGGGTGCTCAAACCATATGATCGGCAACAAGGAGTGGTTCATACAACTAGACGAAGAGTTCAGGCATTTGGTGAAGCTCGGAAATGATTCAAAGTTGAAGGTTATGAGAAAAGGAAACATTAGAATGGAAGTCGAGGGTCAGACCCAGATTTTAACAGATGTGTTTTTTATCCCGGAGTTGCGTAACCACCTGCTCAGTATGGGTCAGCTTCAAGATAGAGGTATAACTATCCTGATCAATGAACGAGTTTGCAGGTTGTATCATCCGAGAAGAGGTTGCATTATGGAAAGCAAAATGACAACAAACAAAATGTTTTATCATAGATACCAACATTCTTACCACCGAATCTGCTTGCTCTAATTGCTAAAACTCAGGAAGTAAGGAAGCTTTGGCATAAGAGGTTCGGGCACTTGAGCTACGAGAATTTGGCACTCCATGAGCTGCATGAAGGGAAAACAGAATCGAGCAACCTTTCCTAGAAAAAGCATTTGGAGAGCAGCAAGACAATTGCAGCTCATACATTCAGATCTTTGTGGGACAATTTCTCCAAAATCACATTTGCAACTTTCAAAATCTTCAAAGCCAGGGTAGGAAAGGAGTCTGGAAATCAGATGTGGTTTAAGAACTGACAGAGGAGGGGAGTTTAATTCCAAAGAGTTCTCCAAGTTTTGTAATTTACATGGCATAAAGAGGCAGCTTACTACACCCTTTACGCCCCAACAAAACGGAATTGCTGCGTGTAAAAATCGCACAATTCTTAATATGGTGCAATGCATTCTTGAAGAAAAGAAGATGCCAAAGATCTTCTAGCCAGATGCTGCAAAGTGGGCATGTCATGTACTCAACAGGAGTTCTACATCTGCAGTAAAGGAGAAGACCCCAGAAGAGTGTTGGAATGACGTAAAACCTAATGTTGAATATTTCAGGATTTTTGGTTGTATGGGGAATGTGCATATACCGGCAGAAAAAAGGCTCAAGCTGGATGCTAGGAGTCAGAAGCTTATAATGATCGGGTACAGCAAAGAGTCTAAAGGGTACAAGATGATAAATCCCATGAACCTGAAAGCCATAATCAGCCGTGATGTTGTCTTTGAGTTAGAAGAATATTGGGACTAGGGGAGGACAGAAAACAACACAGTGAACGTTAATCTTGATTGAGGGGAAGCGTATGAAGCATTGTCAATGATGAGTATGAAAACGCTGACACCAATGAAGAAGTAGATGGAGAGGGGAGTAATTCTTCATACAACAGTGAAGAAGATCGAGTCGAAGGAAATAAAAGTTCTCCTTCTCGTGAAGGCCAACTCCTCCAGCACGTGAGAGAAGGGAAAGAAGAGCACCGGTCTATCTCCAAGACTACATCAGCAGGGAAGAAATCTCAGATGAGGTCCAAAACTTTCTTATGTTTATTTTCATCTGATGATCCAACCTGTTATGAGGATGCATTAAAATCAAAGAATTGGAGGGATACCATGAATATGAAGATTGATGCTATAGAGAGGAATCAGACCTGGCAGCTGGTTCAACCACCGCAAGGAGCCAAAGCAATAGGAGTGAAGAGGGTGTACCGAACAAAGTTGAACGAAAATGGTGAAGTAGACAAATACAAAGCTCGACTAGTGGTAAAAGGGTATGCACAAGAAAAGGGTACTGACTACAACGAGGTCTTTCCCCCGTTGCGAGATGGGATACTATTCGGATGGTGATCGCTCTGGATGCACGAAATGGCTGGAAGCTCTACCAGTTGGATGTTAAAAGTGTGTTCTTGCACGGAGAACTCAAGGAGGACGTGTACGTTGCACAACCACTGGGATATGAGGTAAAAGGCGAAGAACACAAGGTTTATAAGTTGAAAAGGGCATTGTTTGGCTTAAAGCAGGCTCCAAGCCTGGTTCAGCAGGATCGAAAGCTACTTCAATAAAGAGGGATTTGAGAGGAGCTGCCATGAACATTCCTTGTTCATCAAAAGGGAAGAAAACAAGATCTTGATTGTAAGTCTTCACGTAGATGATCTGATTTTCACTAGTAATGACTTCATTATGATGCAAGATTTTAAAGATTCTATAAAAAAAGGAATTTGAAATATTTCTTGGGTGTTGAGGTGCATCAATCCATATTAGTCAAAAAAAATATGCAGGAGAAGTTCTTAAATGGTTCGGCTTAAGTGATTGTAATGGAGTCAGAAACCCAATAGTTCCTGCAAGCAAATTGTCAAAGGAAGATGGAGGGAAACAAGCTGATGGGACCTTGTTCAAACAGATGGTAGGAAGTTTAATTTACATGACTACTACCAGGACCTGATGTACTGTGCGTGTCTCATAAGCAGATGCATGTCAAATCCGATGGAAGCACACCTTCTGGCAGCCAAAAGGATTCTCAGGTACAATTAGAGTACTATGGATCTGGGGTTATTTTATGAAAGGGGGCAGAAGGATGAATTATCAGCTTATACTGATAGCGACTATGCGGGTGACAAGGATGATCGTAAAAGCACGTCAGGCTATGTCTTTATGATGGGTTGAGGGGATGTAGCATGGGCCTCCAAGAAGCAACCTGTAGTAACCCTTTCAACCACCGAAGCCGAATACGTGGCTGCTGCCTTTTGTACAAGCCATTGTATTTGGATGCAACAGGTCATTAAACAGATTGATAGCATCATGTCCAAATGTGTTGTGATAACTGCTCCACCATCAAGCTTGCAAACAATCAAGTCTTTCATGGAAGGAGCAAGCATATTGAAGTGAGATTTCATTTTTTGAGAAATCTTACAAAGGATGGAACCAATACTATGGAGTATTGCGGGACAAGTGATCAGCTTGAAGATGTTATGACTAAGCCATTGAAAATGGAGCAATCTGAGAAGCTCAGGGGACTACTTGGAGTTCGAGCAGCTGAAGACTAAATCAATGTTGTATGCATGTTTGATCTAGGAGAGGAATTGTTGGAGCATACATGGAGTTTGAAGTTTTCTTGTTTCTGTTCATAATATCCCTAGTCTTTAGGTGTTTTAAGACGTGCTTGAACCAGTCTGCAAGCCCGTTAGATAGCTGCTTATTTTTCGCTTTTCAGTTTCTTGTACTGGCTATTTATATGCCCCTGCTTTATGCTTCAATAAAAACAGAGATTTAAGCTGTGCAATTCTGATTATTAGCTTGGGGATTAACACTTTCACCCGCCTACCTCATTCTCATCCATCCAGTCCTGTCCAATTCCGTCCACATACCAAATGCACCCATCAAACACGAACCAAAGTAACATAAACCGACACCAACTGATCATCCGCAAGAGGCTACTTTTCCCCTAATATGCAAACTAACATTCTTAATTGGGTTTGATATGCATATAATTTAAGGTTTACAACCTCTGCAAAGTGAATCATCATACCAATGCGTACACCATGTTATCAAGTATATGGTTACATATATCTATTCCTATATGCACACTCATTGGCACCAATTTGCAACACCATTCTAGGCACTAGCATTACCAATTTACCATATTAATATATCATCTCCACAAAATCCAATTTTTTGTTACCAATGTGAATACAATCAAAATCAATCACCAATCAGTACAACTAGGTGTAGCACAAGTGTGCTACTGAGAGTTTGAATTAAAACCACAACAATTCACAAAAACAAAACTACAAATCATGATTACCAGAAGGTCCAGTGCTATCCGTGATCGAAAAGGACTGAAGCTGATCTGAAACTCCATCAGCTTCCTTCGAATTTGATTCTGAATCATCAAAATGGAAGGGAAATAACAAACTTTTATCAGAAAAACTGAACATGTTTATGAAAAAACATTCAAATGTTTTGTAATCGATGAAAAAGGTCAAGTCTTTTACCTTGAATAAGATCTGGATAAAGTTGCGGTGCGTTTCGAATCAACCAGGGCTTGCATTTTTCGAAATCGGGTCCAAATTCGCAGTACTCAGCGGGTAACCCACAAACACCACAGTATGGAACTTGAACCGGTTGAGGCTTTTCCGCCATTAGAGGTGGTTAATTATTGAATTTATGAAGTTAAAGTTCGCTCTGTGAAGAACAGCGATTTTTGATTTTGAGAAGGGTTTTTTGGCCGACTCTGGAAGAAGAACCAACGCAAATAGTTTTTAAAAAATAAAGAGTTAAGTTACGTTTTTTAATCCCCGTGGTTTGTTAAAAATTACAGATTTAACCCCTGTAGTTTTGAAATTGTGAGTTCGTCCTAGTTCACGATTTATTTTTATTTTCATCTTCAATATTAAACACTAATTTTAAGTATGTAGGACTAACATAAATGAATTGTAAATTATAAGGACTAAAAAATCAATAAAATTTAAACCATAAGAACGAAAACAGTAATAAATTAAAAATTATGGAAATGAAAAACGTAATTCCAAAATCATAGGGACAAAAAAGAAATTTTCAACAAACCACAGGGACTAAAAAAGTAATTTACCCAAAAATAAACAATAGAAATAAAAATGCTGACGTTATACCGTATGAAAAGAAATTCAATAATTTATATAAAAAAGAAGGCCCAATGTTAGGCCTTAATACGTGGCCCAATTGCAAAAAATACTCCAACTCGTTTTTCCAATTTAGTTTTTTAAAGTTTAAACTTATGGTTGTTTGGTTGGTTTTTCATTAAGTCGTATATAAATAAAAAAAATTGAATTAATTAATTTATACGTATGGATTTGAAAGATTTTTGTTTGGAGCTATTTCTTAATAAGTAGAAGGAATGTGTTTTTTAATTGGAAATCACTTAGTTTTCTACTTAAAGCTCCCCTAAGCTTATTGAATAGATCGATTTCTATATCATTAAGTTAGTATCAAACGGTCATGTATAGCTGATCAAATAAGTTGTAAATCACATTAAGCTCGTTAAGCTGATAACAAAACGCGCCCTTAGAGACATAAGAAAATATATCAAAACAAAATAAAATTTATCTTAATTCTTATTTAGCGTACCCATGAAGAGTTTTTCTTCTTGATTAATGTAATAAGCATGCAATTTTTTCTAACTTGTAAAAATTATGAATATTAAACAGTGGAATCTTGTAACTATCAATGATATAAATAACAAATTGTCAAATTATATTATAGTTGTTTATTACGTTCATAAAAATGTCACATCAAAATAAATAGATGTCATACAAGCTTAAACCCGCTTTATCATGTGAATTAGATACAAATAAAAAGCGTTTTAGACCTCAAAAATAAAGATTTGAACACTGGTTTTTCAAATATGAACTGCAACACCAAAGTCGGGTCAGTCTTAAAGCAATTTGTCATTTACGATTAAACCCCTTCGGAGTTTTTTCAATTCCCATTGTTTTGATATGACTTCATTTATTTAAAATATACCAGAAAGTAGATAATACAGAGACAGTGATAACACGTTGTTCAGATGGGATGAATGAGACTTAAAAGAGCGGAAGTGGCTTTGGGCTTGGATGAGGATCCCATCATTGATGAAGCATGGACATCCATAAAAAGACTATGGCGCGGTTAACGTGCTAGGACCACAAAATTTTAATGTTGTATTCAGTAGACACGTTTGTTGCTTGATCCAGTTATCGACTGCATTCCATGATAAGTGAAAATCAATTTGTATTCGTACTTAATAGACAACTGATTCACTGTGCTATATAGAGAACACAAAAGAATAAGTTACAAAAGGTAGGTATCCAATAAAAAAAAACTATATCGCATGTATCTCAGTGTCAGTAGGTCTAAATAGTCAGCATATTGGATCACTGGTTTTTAAAGATGACTTAAAAGGTCCTTTTAAGGATCAAGCCATGTTTGTTTTTTTTTCACAAGGATAATCAACCAGTTCCAATATTATAAGTCAATTTTTTAACGAGGCTAAAACGTTGTTGATCCTAACACATAGAGATAGCAAAAGTGGTTGAGTTCGGATCAGGATGAATATATTCAGTACGAGCCAAAGTTTGGTAGGCTTAAGTTGACCTACGTTAAATTAAAGATTATATAAAAACTAATATTATTGAGAGATAATAACAAATTTTACAAAAATAATAAACTTAAGAGTAACTGCAAATTTGGTCTACATGGTTTGTCAAAAGTAACATCTTTCGTTTCAACAATTTTGAAATTATAAGATGACAAAACCGGATTGAAAAAATATTTGAATTTGGTCCCTCTTTTTGACGTTTTTGTTAAATGAGTAGCATTTTTATCATTTTATCGATATTTTTTTTTTACCCAATCAAAATTGAATTTATGATTTTGGTCCTTCTAGTTTTTAATTTGGATAAATGACAAAGAGAGGGACGAAAGTTGAATGTTTTGTAAACCATAATGACCATCTTGTAATTTTGAAAGTATAAAGGACAAAAAGTATTATTTTTGAGAAACTATAGGGACCAAATTTGTATTTGCTTTAAATTAAAAAATGTCTGAGCCCGGGTTCGAACCGGGGACCTCTAGTGTGTGAGACTAGCGTGATAACCGACTACACCACCCAGACAAGATGCATTCTTTCATTGTATACAGTTTATATTCATAATCAATAAATGAACAATCCAACTAATTTTAAAAGTAAAATATATATTTATTCGGCTATCAAAAATAAATTTCCACATTTCTATTTTAATTTATCTTAAAGTAAATATTCATTTTAAAAAAATAAGTGCATACTTTTTTGCCTTGCCATTAAGACTATATTTAGAGAGTGTTTGGGATTGTTTATTTGAAACAACTTATGTTTTTCTACAAAAACATTTATCAACTTATTACAAGTAATAAGGGTTTAACTTCTTCAAAAACTTCTTATACCGGTTTGACACCGGTATAAGTTGTTTATCCAAACACTCAAAAGTGCTTATTACAAGTGTCACATTAAAATAAGTCAATAAGTTGTTTTTATAAGTCATCCCAAACATCCCCTTAATCACAATCCCATCCTACCCAATCTCAATTAAAAAATTATTCTCTCTCATCTACTTGCACAATCTCCAATTTCAAAACAATCTCAGTTTTTTTATTGTTCATTATTGATCCAATCCAACCTAAAATATTATTTTGTAAAAATTATATATTTAATTTTTTATCATATATAATTATTATTTTTTAATTTTAAGTATAAAAAGTAGATTGGACGAGCTATTACATATTTTAAAACCTAATTATAATTAAAAAAAAGTTAACATACAATTAAAAATTGTTATGTCAACATTAAACTTTATTTATAGACAATTTAAAATTATGAATTTTGATATATTTTTTAATTTTTAATTTTTTTAATTAAATAAGTTTTATTTAAAAAAAATCAAATTCAACCAACGACATGATACCATGTGTCAATCTCAAAAAAAACAATGTAACAATCCCCAATAATCTTGATTTGCTAGGTGAGTGTGATCCGAAGAGATTGACAATTTATTTTATTTTTTTAAAATTGTTTTGTCTTTTTCTACAATCTAATTGGTGAGATTGCTGATAAAATTAGTCTAAGGGATAAAACAATCAGTTAGTTTATTAAAAAGTGTAATAATTACACTTTTTAAAAACTGTATGTATTGTTCATTGTGACATTTATTTTGGGAATGGATGGAGTAACTCTTCCTATTTTGAAAAAGATGACATTTTCACGAGTTCATATTTGTCTCATTTTGTCACTCACATTTTAAAATAACCCTTTTTATTTGCCAATATGTTATCTATACTACCTTATTAAACATCTTACCCCAAAGTCTTAAAGTCTTAATTTTTGTAATACCCAAATTACCCCTCTTCATTTTACCTTCACGCCTCCCCACCCCCAATATTTTCGACCTCACTCTGACACTCCACTTGACCTCACCCTTCCCATCCTTCACCTTCCCCAATGTTCACCACCTGTCCCCCCGATTCTCACCTTTACCCAATGTTAGCCACCCTTCCCACCCTTCACCTTCCCCAATGTTACCTTCACGCCTCCCCACACCCCAATATGCCTCTTCATCATTTTATTTTATTTTACCCGTCAATATACCTCTTCATTTTACCGGCTCCCCCTCCCCCAAGAACACTTCCCTTTATCGACTCCCAACTCCCAAGGTGACGATTCACTCCCAAAATGGTTTCTTTAAGAATCGTCCATCGTCCCTCTCAATCGCCCAAAATCGTTCAATCGTCCTTTGTCCAAAATCCTTTAAGAATCGTCCATCGCCCACCTCCATCGTCCCACCGCTGCCGTTATAAGCTTCCACTACAACTCTACCAAGCACACCTTCTTACGACTCCACCTTCACACACCTGTGCACGCCTCCACCTTCACACACCTGCGCACGCCTCCACCTTCACACACCTTCTCCAAGGCAGCATGCGGTTCCTTCTCCAAGACGGCATGCGATTCCTTCTCCAAGACAGCATGCGGTTCCTTCTCCAAACCCACCTCCACCTCTGTTCTTTCTTCTACTTATTTGGTTAGACGACTTATAAATGATCACTCCTCTCACGATTACAATCTGGAGGTTTCAAGCGAGCGATTTTGTGGAGGTTTCAATTGATCACGACGACGACGAAGAACCCGATGCCGGAAAACCCAACCTCCGATCAAGATCCTTGATTCTTGTAAAGGTATGGTGTTAGGTCTGGTGTTTCTTGGGACTTTCATTGGTGGTGTTTCTCCTTACTTCTTCAAATGGAATGCGCACTTTAGCTGCCGTCGTCCATCATCCCACCGCTGTCGTTGTCCATCGTCCCACCGCCGCCGTCGTCCATCATCCCACCACCGCCGAATCGCCTTCAGGTATGATTTTTGCTTTTAGTGATTTTGCTTTTGTTTTGCTGTTTTGGGTATCGTTTTGGGTATGATTTTGCATTACAACTTTGCTGTTGGTGATTTAATGAAATGTTGAGTTTGAGGTTTCTGTCCAGTTGAGTTTGAGAATGAGTTTGAGGTTTCCACCATTGCACATCCCTCTATACACTATAGCAAGAGGTAACATTAATGGAATAATCTTTTATAATATGAATAATGAAACTTAAACATCTTCCCAGTAACATATGTATGTTATGATGACTTGCATGTTCAAATGATTCTTTCAATGAACTAAATGTGAAGAATTTGAATAATATGAATAATGTTCCTTTCTGTATGTCATGCTCTTTCCATTTTTGTACCTTTTGCCAGTAAACATGTCTCATGCTTGCAGGATAATGTTTGTGCAACAAATAAGTTAAAATTACATATTATTTCTCATAGGTTCTTGAATTTACATGACATGTTTATTCTGATTCAATTTATGCATATTTAGACTTCTTATTTCAATTTTTTTCCATTAGATTCATCCTCCTTGTATATCAACTGTGGTGGAAAGCAATTTGAGGATGGAAAGAAGGTATATGAAGCTGATGTGGAGCGAGGTGGTGCTTCACATTTCTCTTCGACTGGGAGTCGATGGGGATTTAGCAATACTGGTCACTTATTGGGTAACGGCCGTGATGATTATATCAAGTGGTCTTTCTGAACTGGAAATATCCACAATGGGTTGGGTTGAGGGGAAAACGCTAAATTGAAGATAATAAAATCATCGTTTTAGTTTTTTGTATATAAGACTTTTGACCCGTCTTGTCCCATATAATCTGCATACCAAACGCACTCTTAATGAACTTTTTACATCCCGCTGCATTGCGCGGGTAGATAACTAGTATATGTAAATAGGTTGTATCACGAAAAGACCACCCAGCGACCAAGACCAGAAACCAATTCGAATTTTGATCTTGACATGTCGGTGGTTTTTAACCGTAGGCATTTTGCCAGGAAGTTGGTGGGCTCATCATGAATTAGGTCGGGGTGGCTGGTGGTTTCGGGATCCCGTGGAAAATGCTTCTTTTATGTCATTTGGCAACGATCTTAAATAGGCTAAACACATACAAAAACTAAAAGAGAATTCTACGAAATTTCCAAGGGGTGTCATTTACACTAAATCCAACAAAAGCTACATTAAAAAGCTGGTAAAGCAATTATTACATGATTCAAAAGAAAACATATAGAATATTGGTGAAACCAGCAATCGGCACCCCCTCCCCCCAATTTGATCATTTTGGCAACTTATTGTCTTTTCGTTACCAAATAAAACCTTCATATACATTAAATGAAAAAGGGACCATACCACCCCCACTTCATTTAAAGTTTGAGTTTGATCCTTAACATAAACATCACTTTCCTCTTCTTGTATTCTACCAAATAATACAAGGTTTTATTTCTATTTTAAGCTATGTAAATTATGGCTTAATGAAATACTGATTGCTTCACAATTTATTTGTAAATTAGTTTATAATTATAATTATAATTATCAGTGTTTCTAATTCAACAGAACTGATTAAACTAGTTAAACCAAAACAATTTGACTGTTTGATCATCCATTACTAAGTTCACCAGTTTGAAAATTTATAAAATTAAGGTTTGATTTAACCTGTTCAAACAATATAAATAACTTAGTTGGTTTGATTTGCAAAAATATCAAACGAACTTCATCGAGCTTGCCCAAGAATTTCAATCTCAAACCAACAGCAGATCTATGATTTTTATGAAGTGGGTGCGCCTTTGAGGTTGATCAAATGTCCGCAAAAGTCTTCTGATGTGTTTTTAATCGAATTCCATCATTTCGAGTTTTTTTTTGTTGATTTTGAGAGATTTTGTAAAAAAAATTTGGTTGATTTCAAACATATTTTTCTGGTTTTTGGCTGATATCTCTTGTATTTTCTAATATACCGAAACACCCCTCAAAGTTTAGTAAGTGCACTCATATAAGAAAAATTAACTTACGAAAGTTGGTTGAGCAGGTATATGGGACCTCACTGTCATTTGTACACCCTTGAGCCAACCCATGAACACATATATTACAACTAAACAACCAGTATTGTGTTCTTTTTTACTAGGTTGTAAATAAGTCGAGTCAACCTCAAGCTTAATTATATGGTATTAAGTTAAACTCGACTTTGATTCGATAACTCAACAAATCCATATGCAAACTTGAAAAAGATATGAACTGCTTTTCGACAGTTTAAGTAGCTTAAAAAAATATTCTTCGGGATTATCAGTACTGAAATTAGTCTTCAATATGAAAATCTTGTCCCACATAGGGAAGGAGGTAAAACATTAATCGATTTTGCTGTATCTATACTATATTATAAAGAATTTAACAAAAACTCTTAAAAATCATTTTTATGCATGAAGTACTGTATATTGATGCATATTACTTAAAATTCAAGATTACAAATAAATCATGCATAAATACAACTTATTAAAGCTCCATGTTTGAATTCGTGTAACTAACTGCGGATAAAAAATAATCAAATAGATGATAAACATCTCATTTTAAAATATAAAAAATCTAAAGTATAATTAGGATAATTATCGAGTTCTAATAAAATAATTAACAATTATCTTTATCAAAAAATTCATATTATTAAACCAAATATAAATTATTTCTTTATTGAGCGTAAATTAAGTTATAATTAAAAAGTTGAATTAAAAAATTACACAAAAAATGATGAATTTTAAATAGTTAATTTGATATTAATATCGATATATTTTTGTCAAAATTTTATGATATTTTCAAATTTATATTTTATTCAAAAATAAAAACATCATCGTTTTTTTTTAAATCACATAAGACCATATTATAATATCGATCGAGATAAAAAATAAAATAAAATATTAAAATCAAGATGTATTTCGTTACATTACTCGAGTACCCTTATAGTAAATCTTAACCTATTTGATTTATCAAACAAGAATAATGGGTTTATAGACTTTCTGCTTGATTTTCTTATCCTTTTGACCGCTTTTTTGTTGTCGCTTACTTTTACACTTATTTAGATAAGATTAATGACAGCTTTTATGGTTTAAAAAATCAACAACCCAAGCCTATATGTTCATTAAGATAAAAACGATTTGTTGTGTCCTTTGTCTAAGATTAGGTAAGTCTTATCAAATGTCATTTGGTCTAGTGATATGTTTGACTTTTTAAAAGTTTAAAGGTTTAAACCTCACCAAATGTAAAGAAGACGTGTGAGTTTATTTATTCTATTTGTCGTATATAAATATTACATACTTCAAAATATTAGGTAAATCTTCACGGTAATTTACCCTTAACTAGCATATTACGGGGGGGTAATATTATTCCAAAGACAGTGATTTTAAATCGCATCCAAATCTTGTTTTATTTATTGTTTTCTGAAGCAAATTTTCTATCAATTATTCCATAAAATAATCTTAATCTAAGCGATTTAAATATCTATCAAAACTATATTAAATAAAACAACTTGACTCAAATTCAACCGAAAACGTATACAAAATTTCGACCAGAAAGCGTATATATACAAAATTCGATACATCCACGATTTTTTTTTCGAGCATTTGAAAAAACACATGAAATTTTATAGATTTAGTAGATCAAATATCAAATACAGTAGTCGCAATAACATACTCAAATAATACTAGCACTACAATACACGGAGCCAGAAAACGGCGATGTAATCATTTTCAGGCTCCGACCACCGTCTTTCCCCGTGGCCGCCGGACGGTGAATTTTAAATAGCAACAAAGTAATCAAAATTACTGAATTACCCCTATATATTTAAGGTGGTAAACAAAGATGGATAGCTCAAAAAAGTAGGGCATTTTCGTAAAAGCATACCATTTTGTTTCAGGCGGAAGTTCCTCTGTTCAACATTTCTCTGAATCTTTGAAGCGACTCAAGCCTTTGTAATTTCAGTTGCTGCTTAAATCTTTTGATGAAATCATCGGCTTTTGCATCTACACATTCATCTTTCCCACCAATCGCGGCCTTCATCGTCGCCGGCCGCCGCCGATCAACGTCGTCTTTGTCTTTGTCTTTGTCTTCGTCGTCGTCGGATTCCGGCATCCTCTTCTCGCTACGGGATTTCGTTATACTGTTTCGCGGCTTCTTTGCCGGAGTGACGTCGACAGTTTCCGGCTCGTCGTTTGTGACGTTATCGTCTTGAATTGGTTCATGATGTGGGTCCCGGTCCATGTCGGAAAGTTCATCTTTGGTAAAAGATATGTCGCCGACGCCGGAATGATGGTCGGAGTTAAAAGGGGAGGGGAGTTTGAAAGATTTGACTCGCTCCAGTAGAGATGGAACTCGAGTGAGTTGACTAGGTAGGTCGTAATGAGTTTGTTCCGAATCGTGTAAGTCGTGTGACTGGAGGCCTATGGGAGGTGCGTAGAAAGAAGAGAAAGAGAGATCGATGGATTTAACTCGTTGCAAGAAAGACGGTGGTCGGCTGAGTTGACCCATTGAGTTGTAGCCGGTGATATCGTGTGATTCTGGAGTGGTGGCATAGAAAGATGAAAAGTTTACTGATTTGACTCGTTCCAGTAAAGAAGGTGATCGAACGAGTTCACCCTGTAAATTTTGGGGAGGATGATGGGGAGATTTGAAGTTTGAAGCTATGAAGATGATGGCTATCATGAGGTTAAGAACACAGAAGAGAACAGTGGGTGTGAACCAGCTCGTTATGGAAGTTATCGCCATTGATGCAACGCCTCCCACCATATCTTCTTCACTGTGTTTTTTCTTAATGAAGATGAAGATGAAGATGAAGATGTGAACGTAACTGTGATGGAGATGGAGATGCAGATGCCTTGACTCTTATGTGTTTTATATACAACAATCAAATATATATAGAGAGAGACACGCGGAGCCATCAAACAAATCTTGCAAACCATTCTTATTTATCGATTTATTGTTTAATCTTATGAAATTTTTTTATAAAATTGTTTAATATTATGAAATTATTTTATATAATATTTTTTTTGATAAAATTGTTTTGTATATGATTATGAAACTGTTTCATATAATACTTATGAAATTTTAATAAAACTGTTTCATATAGTTTTTTAAAATTAATATAATAAAAATGATAATATCCATGATTAACACTTTCGATAATAAAAATGATTAATCAACCTCTCATAATTAAAGAAAAATAACAAAATGAAAAATTGTAATTGATTAAATAAGATTTGTATTGTTTGTGTGTGTATATATATATATATATATATATAGAGAGAGAGAGAGAGAGACATGCAGAGCCATCAAACAAACCGTGCAAACCATTCTTATTTGTCGATTTCATTGTTTAATCTTATGAAATTTTTCCATAAAATTGTTTAATATTATGAAATTATTTTATATAATGTTTTTTTTATAAAGTTGTTTTGTATATGATTATAAAACTGTTTCATATAATACTTACGTAATTTTAATAAAACTGCTTCATATAATTTTCTAAAATTAAAATAATAAAAATGATAATATCTATGATTAACACTTTCTACAATAAAAATGATTAATCAACCTCTCATAATAAAAGAAAAAATAACAAAATAAAAAATTATAATTGATTATATAAGATTTGTATTGTTTGTGTGTGTGTGTGTATATATATATATATATATATATATATAGGATTGGGTTCACGTGAGACCAAAGGTTTTTCGTGAGACTCGTAAGACCAATGTATGGTCATTGATCAACTTTATAAGTTAATGATCCAACGGTCTAAATTGCACGGTGGCAATTTTGTGATTATTGAGAAATCTCGTTGCGTTTGTGAATGTTTAGATTGTCAGATTATAGATCTAATCCAAATATTGAGAATTGGTCTTACAGGTCTCATAAAAAACTATTGGTCTCACATGATCCCAAGTATATAT